TGCAATGCTTCACAACAGTATGCTGCCCTTGGAATAGATAAGGTAATAAAAAGCATGAAATACGGTGTTTACCTTAGCCATACATTCAATATTTCTTGACGGATAATTGAATTGTTAAGATTGTTCGTTATAATGAATTTGCATATTAAATTAATAACAAAGCCTTCCTGACCTCGTGTGAAGATCATTAAAAAATATTGTCTAGGCCCAAAGCTATGCCATTTATGTAAAAGTAGCCTTCTCTACTTGCATATTCCTCACTATTTAACTTCAAATTTTTATTCTTTGTTGTTCTTTACCCATCACTTTGTTGAGCACTGACAATTATTTTATAACTGTACAGGTATATTTTGGTGAAGAACTACTAAGAAGAAAGCTAAGGAGAAGATTAAATACAACAGAAAAAATGCATCACCATTTGCCAATGTGTAAATAGTATAAAATGTAAATAATTCTTCCATATGTGATATAAAGAATATGACTCACATGCATCTAATAATATGATACTGTTACGTAGGTAAATAATGTATTATTTGCCAACCAGACAACATTCAAGAGTGGATATTTTGTTCCAAATAAATAATACCTTGCTATTAAAATATGATGTTGTGTAGCGATTTCTGTACATCACAATTTACAGAGCTTCAGATATCTTCGTCTTCCTCATCTCTTCAACTTGTGCAGATGCTTTTCTTATTCCTTAATATAAATTTTATTGTTTTCTATCTCTTTCTCCTTCTTTTTTATTTCAAATTCATTAAAACAGAGTGAATTAATTACAGATTTTCGAGTTAGGGTTTGATGGATGAAATTGGGATTTTTTTTTCGAAGATGAATTGAAATCAACAAAACAAATTCTGTTTGTTAAACTATAGAAATCAGTTGATTTTTTGTGTCTGCAAAGTACAAGAATGGATACGATTCTCTGTGATGAACTTCTTCAAGAAATATTCTGCCGCCTTCCTTCGCCTCCGTTTCTTTCTTCGTTTTCTCAGTTTACTGTCTCTGTTACAATCTCAGCCACCGTATATTCCTCCGATCATTTACTGTTTTCAATCTCTTCATCTTGTCCTAATCTCAACTACCTCTGATTTCTGTGATTCTGAGTTAAATTTGGAAAGTCTTTTGTTGTCTGGAATTAAAGGAAAAGGTAAGGATGTTAGTTTTTTATGGAGAAATTGCAAAAAGGTGAGAATTTTAAAGCTGAAAAGCTGTGAAAGGCAGCACAAGAGTCGCTAGAGAGAAAAATTGTCCGACTTCATTTGAACAAAAGAGAAAACAAAGCTTGTAATCAGCAGCAGTCACCTATCCCAACTCCTGCATCTTAAAATCTATTGTTGTTCCTAGAGAAAGAAATGAGGAAACAAAACTTCGTCCGTTTGGTAAGTGATGCGAAGAGTTGGTGAGTTCGTTATGGATTGGAATATTAGATCTCTTGCTGTTATTACCCAAGAGAAAAATCTAAAGCTGCTCAATTTTCCAAAGTAAAAGAATGAATCTAAATATGCTAACATTATACACTGATAAAAGTTACTCCTATTATCTATTTAAGTTGAGTTTTAGAGTTTGACCAGTGCAAAACATAACTCTGATCCCTTTCTAAATGCCCACAACTGCACCAAAGTACCAATTTTCAAAGCATTCCTTTTACTCACAGCATTCCAATATGTAGTCAACACATAACTTGAACTTGTTTTTCCATTACTTTTGTTCATATTCCACTTTCTCAAATTAATATCACATATTTCAAGAGAAGGCTCAATCAACTTCACTTTCATCTCAGACACATTATTCTCATTCCGAGTATTCAAATATGCATCTTCTTCTGAATTAAGAAAGTCATTACTCATTTGCCTTTGTGGTATTGAAAGTCTGCCATCTCCAGGTTTGATATTAGTCTCAAACAACCTCTTTTCTATGACCAATATTGCTGATTCAACTGAACCTCCAATTTCTGTAATTTTATTCTTGAATTCTATAGGTAATTCTCTTGGTTGGTCGTTAGTTACAACAGGAGGTGCAACCGTAACAATAACGTTCCGTTCTTTTTTAGCATTTCTTTTCTTAAATATTTGGAGGGTTTTTTATGGAGAAATTGCAAAAAGATGAGAACTTTAAAGCTGAAAAGCTATGAAAGTGTTGCTGATCAAAGCTCTTTTTTAGCATTTCTTCTCTTGAATATTTGGAGGGTTTTCAAACAATGGAATTAAGAACTTGTAGAGAAATTGTTGATGGGGTTTTGTTAAAATTGGCTGAGAATTGTGGTATGTTGAATTCTTTGTTGATATATGATGGTAGCAGTAAAGAGGGGTTGCTTCATTTCTTGAGTCAAAGCAAATGTTGTACTAATTTACAGAAGCTTGATTTAAGATTGCCTCTTGATCTTGATAATAGTCATGTGATAGGTGCTCCTGAAAATTTAATGAGTTTGAGGAGTTTAAGGTTATAATTATAGTGGAATTACTTAAGCATGAATGATTTTGTTTTTGTTTGAGTTATTTCTCAGGAAACTTCAGAGCTAATATTAGCTTTTGTTATCTATTTCTATCTCATTATTATAATGGAAAAGCTTTTCCTTTTGATTGTAATTCTATGTGCTTCTAGGTATGTCATTCATCACATATATATTGAATGAATAGTTTTTGGTTTCAAAGTTATTTTGATAGGTCTATGGCAGATTCAATTCAAGCATATGCAGGGCGTAAAACCAAAGTTTAATATGAGACCTCGATTTGTTCTTTGCTTTTTTGGCTCTGTTGTGCATGCCAATTTATTCTCTTTGTCATTGCAGTTCTTGCGATCTGTTGTGACTATGTTCTACTTTTGTTATGCAGTAGCACTTGAACCAGAAGGTAAATTTTGTAATCTCTGCTTATCTATTTGTAGGTATTGTACGTTTTTACGTGGGTTTTTTTCTAAAAAATGTACGCATACATACATACTACGTGCAGCTTTTAGGCTATTCCATATGTGGATTTTTTTACATTTGGTAATGTAAATATGTACGTGACATTTCCCATTCAGGAAGTAGACGAGTGAAATATCGAGTAAAAATCATAAAATTGACATCTCTGAAAAAATACATGCTAACAAGAAGACTAGGCAACGCGAATTATACAGAATGATGCAAGGCGATAAAAAGGCGGCTCTCCTAGCGCGAGCACGAGCAAATAAAGGTGAAACAAGCGGTCGGCAACGTCCTGCTTGCTCACTAATTAAAAGCTCCGCTAACGCATCATCTTCTATAAGTGCTAATATTTCAAGCGAGCAGTATCTTCCTTTTGTGGGACATTCAATATATGAAACATGTTAGAGAGCTAGATTGTCATTTCTTGATGGTATATGCAATTATAAATACATGTATGCATTTATAACTATTAAAATTATATACTTACACTTATTATTGTTGTATCCTAGGATCTACATCTAATACAAATCATGAACAATATATTGAAGAGACAATAACAACCCAAACATCAGCTGATTATGTTATGTTAAAGACTATTCCAAAATGCAAATTTTGCGGAGCCAAAAAATTTGAATACGAACCACCGACATTCTGTTGTTGCAAAGGCTCTGTTAAGCTAATTTCACATCAAGTACCGCAAGAATTAAGAAATCTATATTTAGGAAATACTGAAGAATCAAAGCATTTTCGAACCTACATAAGAACATACAATAATATATTTGCGTTCACATCCCTGGGAGTAAGCTATGACAAAGAGCTGGCAAAGAGGAATAAAGGTATTTGCACGTTTCGAGTTCACGGACAAATGTATCATTTCATAAATGAATTGATACCAAGTAATGAAAAAGGAAAAAATCTACAATTATATTTCTATGATAATGAAAATGAAGTGAGCAATCGAATGGCATGTTCCAATAAATTAAACGAGTGTACTGTGAAAAATTAATGGAAATATTAAAAATCAATCCTTACTCTACGTTTTTGAAATCCTTAATAAATATCCCCCAATTATCAGATTTCTACATTGCGCTTAAGTGTGGTGCTGGTCTAGATCAACGAATATACAATCTACCAACTACGTCAGAAGTGGCAGGGATATGGGTAGAACAAGATACCAATAATTGTATCCCTACACCACATATCCGAATATATACAAAAAGTGATAAAAGCCAGCTGGTAAACTATTATTACGGATGTTATGACCCATTGCAATATCTATTATTGTTCCCCTATGGTCAAAATGGTTGGCACTGTGGTATTCGAAAACTTAAGCCTTCAGCTACCCCTTGTAGAACACATCTGTATTGTGAATACGAAGAATTGCCAAGTATAACCAATATGACTTCAATTCATGGATTGCTTGACATGGAAGCTGAAGTGATGCAAAAAGGCAAACGAAAAAGAGAAATAGTTTCTTGCCGTGAATACTATTGTTACCAACTCCAAATTAGAGATGATGAAAATATAATCTTACATTCATGAAGATTATTACAACAATATGTTGTAGACGAATGGATAAAAGTTAAAACTCAAAGATTAGATTTCGCTTTTTTCAATCAAGACTTATTCAGAATGGACGTATTAGCTGGACTTTTAAATCTTATGCCGCAGTGAGAGACAAGGTTCATAGGTAGGTAAAAATAGAATACTTCCACTTAGCTTTACAGGAGGACCAAGAGATATGCGCCGCCGATATATGGATGCTATTGCATTAATACAACGTTTTGGAATACCCGATATATTTCTAACTATGACATGCAACCCTTCTTGGCCTGAAATTCAAGAAAACTTATTGTCGACAGATGAGTCCCAAAATAGACCCGATTTAGTTAGCCGAATATTTCAACCAAAACTAGAAGAGCTTAAAAAAGATATACTAAAAAGACAAATATTTGGTAAAGTTGTTGCATTTATGTACACAGTAGAATTCCAAAAACGGGGACTTCCGCATGCTCATTTTCTTATTATACAATACAAACTACCGACTCTAGAGGCATATGATCAATTTGTTTGTGCTGAATTACCAGATCCTAAAAGAAACTCTGCTTTATTTAAGCTCGTTACACAACACATGCTACATGGTCCTTGCGGTCAATTAAATCCAACAAGTCCATGTATGGAAAAAAACGGTCAATGTAAATTCAAGTTTCCAAAAGCATTTGCTGAGCAGACAACTAAAGGAAAAAATTCATACCCTATTTATAGAAAACGAAACACGGGAAAATGTGAGGAAATTAGAGGACAATTTTTTGATAATTTATGGGTTGTTTCTTACAATCCATTCTTACTTAGTAAATTTAATTGCCATATAAATGTGGAGATTCACTCTGACATTAAAGTTGTTAAGTACATTTACAAATATATTTGCAAGGGACATGATAAAATTGCATTTCATATACATCCTAACGATGCGAACATAGAAGTAGATGAAATAAAGGATTATCAACCTGCTAGATGGGTGACACCACCTGAGGATGTGTGGCGCGTATTTACTTTTCCTATCAGTGAAATGATTCCAAATGTATACCATCTTCAACTCCATCTTGATGGACAACAAATTGTTTCTTTCAAAAATACAAATAATATTAATAGAATCGTAAATAATCCTATGATTAAAAAAATAATGTTAACTG